GAGGTTATATATATATATAGCATGGAGGTCCCTAGGACGACTGTGGCTTATAATAAATTTCGGTTTTACTCAATTACTGAGCAAACCTCAATGAAACATCTCACTATTAAGATAAGAATACATACTCTATCAAGCTGATAATAGAAAAATTAATTAATTAATTTTAAAAATAAAAAGAAAAGAAAAAATTTGAAATATTAAACAAACAAACAAACAAACATTGTACTAAAGTTTAAAAAAGGGAGAACTAGGGACTCATCATTCCTCTACACATTCTATTCTTTCCCTTGTTTTATATATTTTAAAATTTTTTATCAGTGGATTCTGCTGGAGTTTATCGGTGGATTCTTCTGGAGGATCCAATGCAGATAAGCACTGGAGGGCTCCTGTTGCAAATCACCCTCTGGAGCGGTGGAAGTATCTTTCTACTAGCACATGGAAGAGACCTGATCTAGCGTTGGTGTGGCCCCAGAGTTTGGTTTATATCTTTCCTCAGGACAATGAGGTTCCTCTTTGGATTCCTGAGCACTGAATGTGCCCTGTGGCTGCTGCTGAAGCCCAACATGACAGAGACCTAATGGGTCTCCATGAAAAAAATCTACCCTTCAGATGCCAATGGAGATTGAGAGCCCAATATGGCCAGCTTTGGCAAGCATTAATGTAAGCCTAGGAACTGTAGCCATGAGATTGGATTCTCCAGAAGAGCTGCCAGCCAAAGTCATGCTGGGATCAAGAGAAATGGGCCTTGGTGGTTCGTGTTCCTGGAGTTGTATCCATGCCAGTGGCTGTCCACACAATCCAGAAGAGAATCTAACATTGCTGCTGCCACTGTTGCTGTTATAGCAATGGTGGCCACCACTGCTACTGTTTCTGGGATTATCATTTCATAATTGCTTACTACAGCTAGCACAGTGGAGACCCTGGCAGCAAAAGTAGCTACCACAGTTAGTTAATCTTTCATTCTATTGGGCATGATAAATTTAATTCAGTAGTTATATACATCTCTATTGGCTTTGAAAATTATAAACTTATAAACTCAACTTCCAGTTGCTTTTGGGATACCATCTTACAAGGACTCCAACCTACAGTATGGCTCGTTAAGGAAGGGAATGACTCAGTTGCCTTTAGCCTACTGGCTATAGGTGGGATAGGACCTCTGTTGGTCTTTTCTGTATCGAACACACAGATTGCAAGCCTAGTGCCACTCTGAGATCTTCGGCAGCAATTAACCATGCAGCTCACACACATGATTGAGCCGGTATGATAATGAGTATTCAGAAATGGGTAATGCCTGGGGGGCACTCACCAACCTAAGACAGAGCACCTGTGTGGCCTGGGCAGGCATCTCCATGACGGGTAAGGTGACCTGCTGACGTCCCACGCAACCCAAGTCAGAAGCTCATTTTTTAATAAAAGGGGGACCTGCAGGGCCCTGGCCCCCGTTTTGGGTAACTGTTGCCTTGCTTACGGACCTTGACCTTGATATCCTCCCAATGCTAATTCCCTGCTGGGTTCAACCCTCCTGAATGCTTAAGGGAAGTTCCTTGTCTATGTATCCTGAATAATGGGCGCTAACAGCTTAGATGCAAGATTGTAAAACATCAGCAGCGAACTTCTGCCCTCCAGGGTCCTCACATTGTGCTGTAAGCCTGTATTTAACCTCCTACCCCCTTCAAGAAATGACATTCAACATTTAAAATTTATATATATAATTGAATGAATACTACAAGTGTAATCTAGAATACCACAAATGTGATTAATATCATGAGTGTAAGTAATGAATATCATGAGTGATGAGTGTAATTCAAAAAATAAATAAAAAGAAACAATAAATAAATAAGAGAGTAACTTTTTTTAAAGATTTTATTTATTTTATTATGTATACAGCACATTTTATTTATTTTATTATGTATATAGCAGGCCAGAAGAGGGCACCAGATCTCATTACAGATGGTTGTGAGCCATCATGTGGTTGCTGGGAATTGAACTCAGGACCTCTGGAAGAGCAGCCAGTGCTCTTAACCTCTGAGCCATATCTCCAGCCCAAGAATAACTTTTTAAAAAATAAAAATAAATAAAAGATTTATTTATTTATTTATTATGTATACAGTGTTCTGTCTGCATATATACCTGCAGGCCAGAGAGGGCACCAGATCTCATTACGGATGGTTGTGAACCACCATATGGTTACTGGGAATTGAACACCGGATCTTTGGAAGAGCAGCCAGGGCTCTTTACCACTGAGCCATCTCTTCAGCCTGATTGTCTGGTCTTTTCCCCATGATTATATCCAGCCTGGAGAAATCCAGAATGAGAGCGCACAAAGGATCCTTTCTGGATGACGAAAAGAGATTTAACCAAAGCAAAGAGTAGAATCCACAGCGAGGTATGGGGCGGCCCACTCATTCATCCAAAGTGGTATTGTACACTTCATACACATATTAGTCTGCCTTCCCTCTCTCTAACAAATACCTGAATAAACCAACTCTGGTGTGTGTGTGTGTGTGTGTGTGTGTGTGTGTGTGTGTGTTCCTAAATACACAAATACAACCTGCTTTGCTGTGGGATATTTGCACACTGTGTGAAGATGTGTTGCTGTGACTGGTGTAATAAAAAGCTGAACGGACAATAGCTAGGCAGGAGAGATAGGTGGGACTTCCGGACAGACAAAGAACACGGGGAGGAAGAAAGGTGGAGTTGCCAGCCAGACACAGAGGAAGTGGGACGTGCAGGAAGAGAGGTAACAGCCACAAGCCACATGGCAGGATGTAGATGAATAGAAATGGGTCGATTTAAGTTGTAAAAACTAGTTAGAAACAAGCCTAAGCTATAAGCCAAGCTTTCATAATTAGTAAGAAGTCTCCATGTCATTATTTGCAGGCTGGTGGTCCCCATGAAAAAAATATTACTACACTACTTAGTCTGTATAATGTTGGTATGGGATCTTTTTTTAAGGTTTATTTTTTTATTATTTTATTATTATTATTATTATTTGTATTGATGTGTGTGTCTGTCTGTCTGTATCTATGTGAATATATGTCTTATGGGTGCACATCTGTGGAGGCCAGCAGAGGTGTTAGATCCCTACAGCTGATGTTACTGGTGGTTGTGAGCCAATAGATGTGGGTGCTGGGAATCCATCTCTGGTCTTCTAGAAGAGCAGCAAATTCATGTAATTGCTGAGCTGTCTCTCTAGCCCCAACAGGGAACATTCCTGAAGAGGATAACAGAATCTCCTCTCTTCTTCCTTTCCATTTCCTTACTACAAGTGAAGTGATTTTTGTCCTGCTATGATCTCCTTCCATGAGCCCACCGTGGTGTGGTGCCCTCTCACAGGCCCAAGGGAGAGAGGTGAACCCACCATAGACCAAGACATCCAAAACTGGGAGCCAAAATAACCCTTTTCCTGGGTGGAGGAGACAGCTCAATGGTTGCAGGGTTTTCTGTGCAGACGTGAGGAACTGAGTTCCACCCCAGTACCTGTGTAAAAGCTGGGCATCATGGGATATGCCCATGCTTCCAGAGCCAAGGTGGATCCCAATTGCTAGTCGGCCAGCCAGTGTAGCTGATTCTGTGAGATGAGATTCAGTGAGAGAATCTGTTTCATAAATCAAAGTGGAAAGAAGATACCAGATGTTGACCTCTGTCATCTACGTATGTCAACATGGGCATGTACATGCATGAACAAGCAAACCCACA